TTTAAATTGTAGAAACTATTCTACATACTCCTCATATTTTGTTTCTGTGCACCGGATCAACAATGTAGAGCTTATAGTAAAACTGTAACGAAACCCGATTGAACCCGCCATGGGTGGCGGTGGTTTTTGGTTTTGGCTTTGGCTTCAGCAACAACAATAACAACAACAACCAAAACGGCGGACCTGAACCTGGGACATGGACAATAACATGTACGAAAAAATTTCATTGCTGGTGCTGGCCGGGCTTTTTGCTCTACGGCCACGATTCGGGGCAGCAACAAAAACGAGAGAAACCAAAAATCTCTGTCAAAAATCGCTGGCGGGCAGCTGCGGGCCCAGCCCAAGCACATCCTCACGAGCAACAACACCAGCAACACGGCGGCAACAGCAACAGCAGCAGCAACAACATCGACAACAGCGACAACAAAAGACCGAACGAGCGATCGGGAACAAAAAAAAAGAAATAATTAATATGCCTCAAAAATATCCCGGCCAGCTTTTATGACAGCCAGCGGTCGAAGGGAGTATTGCAACTGCAACTGCAACTGAATCGGGATTGCAGCTGCACTTGGACGCTGGCCGCTGGCAACAGCAACAGCAACAACAGCAACAGCAGCAACAACAGCAGCAACAGCAGTTTAACTAACGGCTTCTGTGCTTGTTGTGCTGCCGTTTCCGCATCTCGGTGTCGCCTCAGAATGTGCACGATTTTCCTTCAGATTCAATTTCAAGTGCAGCAGCAGCAATAGCAATGGTAGCAGCAATAGCAGCAATACTAGCAGCAGCAACAAGGGGCAAGCGCCGCTATTAAGTCGACGACAACAACAAGCAATAACCCTAACCGATGGAGCCGCCGGCAGTGGTTCGCCAGCTCAGCTCAGCTCCGCTCAATTCAGCCAGCTCAGCCAGCCTGCCACTGTCTGCCGCTTCTTGCCGAGATTTCTATCTTTGATCTCTTACTCCACATGGAGCAGCAGCAGCAACCGCAACAGCAGCAGCAACGTGGAGCATTTGCCGCATTATGTGGCAGGGCAGCCGGTGCTGTCTGCTTGTTAAATTGCTCATTTAAACCATAACGAAATGGTCTCTGCCTGGGGACAGCTCGAGAGCATGTGCCTTCCTAGAATCAGCCCACTCAGAAAAACAGAAAATAAACAGATCACTTTCAGGTTGCTTGTAACACGAATACCCAACAAAGTGTCACCAGTGGCAGGTTTGTAGTTTGTGTCCTATTTAAAAAGAGCTTGAATTGCATAGAACAGGAAAAATAATTATTTTTTTAAATGCAATTTACAGAAATTTTAATAAATTTAAGATTTTTGCGAAGACAACATTTTTAATAGCATTTTATTGAATATTTATATCAGTTATATTGGTTTTGTACTGAATGAATTTGCTGAGTTTAGAATTTAATGTTTTTTAAATTAAATAATAATTGAACTGTCTCAGTTCTTAGTTGAAGTTCCTAATCTTATTTAGAAATATAAAACACTTTTCGTTCAGTGTAGCCACTTGTCTCTCATTCCCTCCTTTTAGATGGAACACCGCCATCGATGCGGCGGCCGTGCAAATTGCCCAGAGTCATGTGGCGACCAAGTTGCCAAAGGCATTTTTAATTAGCATGCAGCGGAAATTAGTCGACTCCAATGCTAATGCCATTGCCAGGCAATGGGAACCGAATAGATTTTTCGGCCGCAGGCTGAAAATTCAGACCCCATCCCCCCAGAGATGTTAACATTTCTCGATTTGCGTCATAAGCCTGCGTCAACATAAATTACGGGCTGGGAAATTGGAATTTATCGGTGACATTGCGATAACGAGCATTGTGAAAAAGCGCTTAGGAACCGCGACAGCTTCTCAAGTGGCACGACACACGCAATTATATTTGATATTTTTATGGCATATGTATGTGCGTTTTGCCTGCTTTTTGCCAGCTTTTTGCTCGTTTCGAGATCCCCCTGAAATGTTGACATAGAAAGCTGACAATAAGCGCCGGCTTAAGCCCGTTTTTTACTTTTGTTTATAATGAAAGAATTTGTCCATAATTAACCAGATTGCCGCGAATGCGATATCACACCAATGACAGCTTAAATATGGCCAATTTCTCGTAGATCTCTTAAGCTTACTTTCTGGCTTATGGTTTTCAGACGCAAAAAAATACGCCACTTGACCAGCTCTTTTTATTGAGAAGATGAATCTGCATCCCCTGAGGTGACATCGTTTGGTCCGGGGGCACATGCCAAATTGGTGTCACAAAACCGAATCATAAATCAAGCAAATTATTATTATTATTATTGGCCAGCACATCTCGGACACATGTGAGCCACATATATAGAGATATCTCCCAGCAACAGATCGTAGAACAAGCGCCGAGCATCAGATCTCTCGCTCGCTCTTTCGACGGCACTTTGGCTAGGAAAAGGCCATAAATCATGACAATACCCCAAAGCCGGCTACCCCATCGACATAGCTCCGCCACAGCCATCCTCCATGCTTCACTGGACAATCATAATAATCACAGCCGGCTGCCGCACCACCAGCAAATGCAACAGCAACAAATGCAACAGCAACTGCAGCAGCAGCAGCAGCAGGAAAAGCAGCAACAAAAGCTACTTACTATGTCTGCGTCAAGCCGATATGCAACTGATAAAAAGAAAAACTGTGTAGAAAATATACAAAAAATGAGACAACCCGAGTTGGCTAAAATACCCTAAAGCCTGCTAGGTGTATGGCTAAGTTTAGTTGCCGCTTATACCTCTGGCCTAAAAACTACAAAGAAACGTTTGTGGCTTAACATTAATTTACGATCTGTGAAATTGTACATACGAGTTGTAGGCTGATACTTTATTTCATCAGCACTTCTTATTGATTGATGATTAATAATTAACTTGCGAAATGGCAATAAATCTTTATTATTATCTTTTTTGCTGTTTAATTGGCAAAAGGTAGTAAAGGAGATAAAAAGGAATTAAATTTGCAGTAAAGTAAGGGAATTAAATATTCGTGATTTCCCTCGAATTTATTTGGTTTTCCATCGCATTGATTGTTTTCTTTGTTGCGGCTGCCGCTGTCTCACTTGCTCCCCATCCTTCGGTGGCCAGCAAGCAGGAAAATTGACAATTGCGCACCTGCTTCATTTTCTTGTGCGGCTGCCGCCGAACGGCAAGCGGTCAACAACAATGCCACTGCCAATGCCGCGGCATCGTCTGGTTAATGGCATTTAACGGTCACCAAAATGCCCGCTGTGTAGCAGTAAACTTTCCAAAAAAAAAACACAATAATAATAATAGATAAATAGCAAAAAAAAAAAAGAAAAACATAAACCAAAAGGAAAACTATATATTTATGTGGCCATCGAAAGCTTATGGTTAATTTTAATGCGGATACCGGAGTTACATTGTAGCCAATGGTCGGATTTGCATAATGCTAGGGAAATATCCCTGGGCCGGCATAAATATTTCATAAATTGCATAAGCCGCGCATTTGCTCTAATTGTATGCTAATTCGGCCATGCCCCAAATAAATCAAAGCCAGTTGAGTGAGTTATGAGCGCGGATTTCATGGCTTTTGCAGCTGGTTAGCCATCGGAATGGGCATCGAAATGGGTAATGGGAAATCGGCATCCTTTGTTAAGGGGCCGGTCCTAATTAAAAACTGCTTATGGGGGCCTATCAAACGGCCATCACCGTTGGCCAATTAAGCTGGCCAACGGAAAATATACGAAATGAACCTGACCGACCGACCAAACGCCAGATCAATGAGTCGTTGATGAAGTTGTTTTGATAACAACGGACCATAAGGCATAAGGCCCGGCCCTGCCTTAGAAAACGTGCGCAATTTATCTAAATCAGTGCAGCGAAAGAGAGCTCTCCCCCTTTCGCCATCGTGGCCACTTGACAATTGGCATGGTATCGGTATCTCTGGAGGACCTGCTCCTAACTTTGGCCTCCGCGCAACCGAAAGATAAACATCATAAATGCATTGAAATGTCATTGCCAAGTTTTGTGCTATCAGTCGGCTACCAAAAACAGCCAGGCGGCGATGGCGATAATAACCCGGGAGAACATATAGTAACCCCAAATCGATGGGCACGGCCTCGTCCGAGGGATCCAATACCATTACCATTACCGTTACCCTTTATGCAATTACAAGTACGTGCAATTGCATCGGCGCTTAATTAGAGGCACTGGAAAAGCAGAAAAGCAGAGAAGCTGAAAAGAAGAAAAGCTGAAAAGCAGGAGCCAGCGAGCACTTGACTGCTCCGCTGACTGACTGATGATTATTTATCACCGTCGTGAGTCGTGCGACAATGACACGAGATTGGCCAAAGAGCCAGGAGGTTGGAGGCTGTAGGCTGTAGGCTGTAGCCTGGATGGCCCAAAAGCCCCAGCAGCATCGTTAGCAACATTTTGTCTGCCACCAGACTGACTGACACAGGCTGCTCCTGCCCCTTGCCATACATGCCACATACAGATGGACCGATGGACCGATGGACTAAGGGACAGAGGGACGAATGGACGGACTGACAAACAGACTGGACGGCCGGGCACTCAATCTTTCAATTTGAGCTGCACTTCAATCAGTTCGGCTCGGTTCACTTTGGTTCAGCGTCATCATTTTGGGGCTGACGTTCTGTGAGAACAAAATTAGTTTTCAATCAGCAGAAGTGCCTTATGTACACTGACAAAATTCCGAGATTTATTTCGGATTTTAATGGATAGATCACATAAAAACACTAGGTAAAAATTGATTCGAACTACAAATATTCGTTCATGTGTAAATTAAATTTAAATGTTTTCAAGGAATTGGAGTTTTTTTGAATATTTATTTTTCAATATAAATTATATATTATTTGGTATTTTTAAATCCGCTATTGTAAATAACAAAACTAAATTCTCTAACTTTATTGTTAGTGACATAATAAATTGTTTATTTACTCTGCTTTCAAATCAAATTAGATTCGCTGAGGTTTCTAACAATAATTTTGCTAATACCTGGAAATCACTTGGTGATTGGAATCAGAGCCATGCGGATAAGTCTGACCTTCTGGGCGTTGCTTTGCGCACTTTTCTGGGCAACCGAGGTAAATGGAGCCAAAAAAAGAAAAAAGGATAATATACGTGCGAGTCGTATAGATAAGGTAGGCGGCTTAGAAATCCTTCAAGGTAAGTCAAGTAAATAAGAATTAAGGCAGAGATACCTAATAGTTGGTTCTACTTGCAGAGAAGTGCCTATTTATACCCAGTTACGGAACGTGCAAGAAGTTCATCAAGGTCTTTGGCTACGACTATATGTCCAACCGATGCACCGAGTTCATGTACAGTGGTTGCGGGGGAAATCCCAATCGGTTTCCAAGTGAAATCACATGTCGAAATGTATGTTTTGTGAATACCAAGTCGGAATTCGAGGAAGCTCCAGATTACTATTCCGAATACGATGACAAATAAAACCAAAAACTGTAAGAAGTATCTAATAAGCTAAATTTAAAACTGAATAAAAATGAGCTTACATACTTTACAATATTTACCTTTAAAAATAAAAACAATAAAGATTTTTATATCTTTCTTATAAAAAGGTATTTTAAGGAGCATGTCTTTCGTTATTTTCTGATTTAAAAAGCAATATAAGATTCTGAATCAGATATTTCTAAGGAATTACTTTAATGTCTTGGCTGACCCGCCTAGGCTAGTGCAACAATTTATGGCTCTAAGTGCAATAATAAATTGTTACATTTTCTGGACCCCACCCCTGGCCGATATGAACGATAAGCTCCGCGCTATATTAGTGCATGGCTAATGCCCAATTCCCAACCAATTTGTTCTATGCGGAAGTTGAGCGACCGCAAGTCGCGCACTCAATGCAGCGGAACTAAACCATTAACGCCTCAAAAGCGAACGATACTCGTACATTCTAATGACTTTATTATGAGCAATGCAGGGCGAATGCGGTGCAGGAACAAAAACAATGTGGCACCGCGTGGCAACATGTAGTCATAAGTTGTTGCAGTTGATGTTGATGTTGATGTTGCTACGACTGCTGCTGCTGCGACTATTGCTGCGATTGTTGCTGTTGCTGTTGCTGTTGCTGCTGCTGCACCCACCCAAAAAAAAGTGACGTCAGGGTGCGGCGTAGTCATCGCAGATCGGTCGGCGGCTCTGGGCCTTTCAAGTGTGCAGTTAGCTGAAATGAATACCGGGCCAAATGCACAGACCGAACCCAAACCGAGATCAGGGCATGACAGTATATCAGTTGACGTTTCGCGGCTGGCGTTGACAATTATTTATGGTAATAAACAGTTCCGCTAGAGCTCTGCTGGCACTCTGCTCTTCTATCGCTGGCACTAAATCCCGAGATCCGAAAATATCCAAAAGCCCACATAATGCGCCTCTAATTGCTGCAAAGTCGATGTGTTACAATAACCATAAAACGTTACGATTTCCACAATCCACAATGATCGCGGGCAATGAGGGGCAATCTTATAATATATATGCATCAAATGGAGGGGGAAGGAGGGGAAGTTGTGCACCAACGAACAGTTCACAATTTGTAAGGCAACCGAAGTTCGGTTTCATTGTCAGCCAGCAATGGCGAAAAATGGCAAAACAAATGGCCGGTGTCTCATTAATGCCACACAATGGTGGCAGCCAACGGCGTCCGAAATATGCAACATTCATCAATCACACAGCAAGCGAGCGGAGCTGACCTGAGCCGATATACACTGGGAGAAATATAAGCAAAGTTCACGTTATTTAAATAATGTTTTCTACTTGCGGTTAGAAATATAACCCAATACATAATTATAAATATTTTTTTATTTTGTAAATATAAAATGTACTTAAAAACATTTAGCAATGATCTTAGCTTGTATTTCTAAAAAATATATATTGAAATATTAAAACTCTCTTCATAAGAAACCGTCTTTGTAGCATCATAGTTCTTTTAAATAAGTAATTTTCAGTCCAAAAACTACAAATTCAATAAATTTGTATTTATACAAATTGCCCAATAATTTTGTTAAGTGTAACTCAGCGAATGAGAATGAGTTCACGCGCTGCACTTGAGGTCGAATATGGACTCTGGACGGACGGATGGACGACGGACGGCCGGCGGAACGACTGTGTGCGGATTGATTTGCTTGGCGCATTTTCAAGTCAATTACACATATTTGTGGCATTTGCGGCAATTGAGTATGAAAACTCATGCGGTGGGTCGTTGGAGCAGTCGTAGGTGTTGGCCGTCTGTCTATTTTATTTGTTTGCGGCTCGGTTTGTTTGCCAGTGTGCGAATGTGGCATGCCACAACAACTCGCCGCATGTGTCCGCCCACAAAACGGAGCTCTTGGGGCTGACCAAGTGAGTCACGTTGGCAGTCGGGCGAGCCATAGAGCTATTTAGCCATAACTCATGTCGCAGTCATTGCACAACTATCACGGGGGCACACGGTCACCAAGGGGTTAAGCGTTGGCCCTTATCAAAACAGCTAATAGAGGAGGCTTAAATATTGAAATACAAAAGTTGAAATATTAGGTGCGCAACTAAGTTCCCGCTGTTTTTTCGATAAAAATGAAACTTTATATTAAAAAAACTTTAACATCTGAATCATTGAAAGTATTACCCATCGCTAGACACAACTTTTTCCCATTTTCTGGCAGAGCTCGTATACCTTGACGCCAGCAGTTTTCATTTTTTGAGTCTATCCCCGAATCAAGCCATTTTTTGATGTCTTCATATGCGTTTAACTGCCGATCAGCCAGGCCATGTGCCATCGAATGGACCAAGTAAAAATAAGACGGCGCAATATCTGGGGAATACAGCGGGTGGGGTAGGACTTGCCATTTGAGCGTTCCCAAGTAGGTTTTAACAAGCTTGGCAACGTGATGCCGAGCGTTGTCATGCAGTAAAATCACTTTTTCGTGCCTCTGCTCGTATTGTGACCGCTTTTCGCGCAGTGTTCGGCTCAATCGCATCAATTGAGTTCGATACCGTTCCCCAGTGATGGCTTGACGGGTAACTCCTAGTTCTGAAGCAAGCTTTTCTTGAGCTTGGCACGAATCCTCTTCGAACAAGGCCTCCAACTTAGCGTCTTCGAAGGATTTAAGTCTTCCTTCACTAGGACTGTCGTCAACATCAAAATCCCCGTCTTTGAAGCGACGAAACCAATCACGACGTCTTTTTTCGCTCAGAGCAGCATTGAGCTGCCGCTTTTTTCAAATGGAAGAAGAAAATCAACACTTCCCGCAAATGACGGTTTTTTGGCACAACATTAAGCATTTTTACTTAACCAGAAGTATATAATGCGAAAACGAAATCACTTATGTGTCACAGAAGTTTGATTACCACATGTCTAAGCTTGGTTTGTGAAGTTTTGGATATGTCAAAATCGACCAACTCTTACTGCTAGAGCCATCTACTAACAAACAGCGAGAACTTAGTTGCGCACCTAATATGAATTTAGCATATCATAAAGTAAAAAGAATATTTTTTAAAAAAAGGTTAAAATTAGTTAGATACTACTTTATATTGTTTTGATTCACATAAAGTAAAAGGTGGAATAAGTTTTTCATTAAATGTGTCGCCAAGGTGTTAAAAGCCATCTCTTATCAAATCAGCTGATGGTAAAAGCTTTCAGCCCCAACAAACACAATCCAAGCTTAGACCCACAACAAATGAGTGATAAGAAAGCTCCACAGGGCGCATGCGTGATATTCGGTGAGCGAGAGAAATGCCAGCGAAAGCTCAGTAACAACAACAAGTGAGGAAGCGAAGGGCGCCAGAAAAAGGGGTACCACAAAAAGTTACTCATATTTTGTTTACTACATGAGTAGTTACAATTGTGTTATTTTTTTTTTTTTTGTGGTGGTTGGTGGATAGCCGGGTACCCCGAGTACGTGAGAAATTTCCGTTGAGTTGGGTTTGGGAACTTCGTGGGCACTGCGAAATGTGAGCCAGTAACTGTGGGAACTGGTCACATTTCGGTGTAGGAAAGTGCTCGCATAGCAATTGGGACAGTCAATTAAATAGAGGTTTCTACATGAAATTATTAAAAACAGGAACTATAAAGTTTCTCTTTCCTCTGTTAAGCAAATCAAAATTACAGAAATTTATTTCAAATAAAATAAAGACTATATTGTATTTCTTTGGTAAAGAACTTGTTTTTACTTCAAAATAATTTATTCTATTTAGTCGTTTAAAAATTATATCATTATTATTATTAAACATTTGAGTCTAGTATTTATTCCAGATTATTATGAAAGATAACTAAATACATATGTCATATTAAAGAACTGAAATATTTGATTAAGTCAGAACAAATAATCCAATCATATAGTTAGAATCTTTATTATTGGCAAACGTTTGCTTAAGTTTTTTAAGTTTTAAGCAAGTATGTACTTCAAGATAAATTCTAAAAACGACTGTCCCACTTATCTAATCGGTCCTGTTTACACATGGGTAAATGCTCCTAATCGCGGCGCCCCAAGATCTGCCAGAGATATAAACCAGATCCATTTGCCCGCTTGTCGGGGGCATTCCTCGCACAGATCATTAATCACCCGATCCGACCGATCGGTAACTCAATCCGCTGCATTTCAGCGCAAGAACATTTATTTATTTAAAGGCGTGTTCCCTTATATGCTGCATTCCTGCCCAGTGATTGCAACTATTTATAATACACTTGACTCTCCCGAGAGATATAGACGCTCTCGTTCGGCTGTGCGTCTGTCAGTTTCGCACATGAAAATACGTAAACAAAAGCGTATTATCGCCCCGATAAACAACAAACAAAAATGTATTTGTTCTCTCCAAGCTCCACTCTTTCTCTCGATATCTTTTGACAAGAAAAAAAACCCCATGCATTTTCACCGCTCTTTCGCCCGCATTGTGAGAAGCAAAACAATCAAGTGAAAGCGCTGAAATTTCGTATTGTGGGCTGTCTCATAAACAGAGAAAAAATCGGAGAAAAAGTCGGAGAAAAACTTTCGTCGGATACAGTGAGCAAAGTGCACGGCGCACGGCGGAGAGAGCCGAGTGGCAAGTGTGTGTGGCATGGTATCTGGAAATTATATTACGGAACTAACGCTGAAACCCCGGGGCCCCGAACTCAGATTCAGATTCAGTCGCACGCGAGAGTCGCTGTCGGGCGGAGCTGAAAAATCGGAACTCTAAAAAAATCGGACACGGGGAATCGCAGACGGAAGCACTGAAACATCTGAGCATCTGAATCCGAATTCGAAACGGAATCGGAATCTCAGGCGGTGGGAAAAAATGTGCTAGGGAAGATGTGCGAGGTTAATGCTACGACAACGACAACTACGACGACGACGACCGACCATAAATCGCAGCGGAATCAAATGAGTTTTATTCAATCAACGAAGAAAGTCCGCCCACCAACGGAAGTAATATATATATATATATAGAGTCGAGCGACGACGACGCATCCCAAATAAACTAAGCGAAAAGGTAAAAGCGAAAATTGTGCTGTAGAAAATGTGTGTGTATATGGAAGTACACGCCTTTTAAGTGCATCAAGCGGAGTGCCAATAACAAATTGTGTGTGAGAACCCCGTTAACAATGTACGCCAGTCAGTATATAGAAAAGTAATCGGAAAGACGGGAAACACGATTTGCCAGACAAATGGTTTTCAGCCATAGCTGCTGGGCTGGGGGAATGGGCTTTTAGCCAGCTTCGCCTAGGGTCAACATCCTTTGACCCAATTATGGCTTAGGAACTGCACAATCCCTGCTGCCAATTGGCAATGTTGGCTTCTGTTTTGTTGTTGTGGCTGGTGTCAAGCCGTTTATAATGTGGCTCAATTTCCGTTTGCCATTCTCTGGTCCTGGCCTAAACGCATCCCCAGTTATAAGCCCCGTACACTCCCCTTTATCCTTTATCCTTTGCGGCTGACACGCCTCAGAGTTTTGCAAGCGAAAAATTATGAATAGCTTGGGGGAGAGGAGTGTGGTGGGGTTTTAAGGATTGGGCAAGGACTCTGGGGGTTAAGGATTCGGGGGGGCGGGGATGCGGGAGAAGTTGGTGGTGGGCGCGGCAGAGCAGGCGCATTCCTTGCAACTCTCTCTCTCGGACTCTCTCTTGTCCGCTCTCCAGACCCTTTCCTTGCCCCCAAGGATGTGCCTAACCTACCTTTTGTTGAATTTTGTAGTATGTAGTATGATAAACGGACATGCAGCAGTGTGCGTGTGTGTAAAACCGCCGTCGCAGTGTGTGTAAGCAGGTGATTATCTGTTGCCGTCGAGTATTTATCTCATTGAAGCATTCAAAAGTGGAATGCAGTCCGCTTTTAGGCGCCTGCAACGTGCTTTATCTGGTTAAAACTCGGCACTATGGGCCTCAAATTGAGTTAGAACCTGGAATAATAACCCAGACATCTGATTATTCAACAAGTGATTGATTTTCACCCGTTTCTCAAATATCACACAATTGCAAAAACTGTGCAACTTTTTTCTGACGCATCAGTCCCAGTGCTAAAAACAAATATAATAGAAAACAAAACAGACTGGAGATATAAATTATTTACTTGGAAATAAGGTGTTTCTCATTGAGTCACATTATCGTTACGACAATAGAAAAAAAGTTAATTTCATTAACTGTAATTATATGATTTTTCCAGGTATAAATTAATTCTATCACTCGTTGTGTAAGTTGCTATTTCGAATTGCCTCAATGATCAAATAAACTGATCTTAGCTATAGATGATATAAGACAGACCTTATACCGTATTTAAACCTATAATTTATAGACTATAACAAAAAGTAGATAAGCTCATTCATACGGTTTGAATTTATTAACAAATATTCGCTTTATTTGTGCTCTCACATCATCTCCATAATTAACTGGCTTTATCTGCATCTCATAGGGGAACTGCTGTCACATCACGGAGTAAAAATTGCTATCCCATGGTTTCTGTGTGGAATGTGTCACGTACATATATCAAAGATACTCGAAGATATTCCAGCGCGTGAGAAGCTCTTCATCAGGAGCAAAGCTCCACTCGACACCCTCTAACCCTCTAACCCCCCAGATTTCCTCCCTACCACCCACCCCACCCACCAGAACCACCCAACCTCCTAACTTATTGTGCAATTTTTTTAATGGCAACCCCTCCGCCGATTGAGAGCTGCGCGTGAATGGGTTTCAGGGTGGCTGGGTGGTCGACTTAAATGGAAAGACGGGCTAAAAGTCATTAGGGCTAAGAGGAGAAAAGGCGACCCGCAAAGGCCTGCGAAGCCACAAAGCCGAAGGCGTTTTAATGAAGCACACTTGACAGTCATAATTCATTTGCAGCAAATCAACTCAAGGCAGACAGACAGACTTGCCCCCTCCCCGAAGGTTGGGGCTTGTCTTTAAGCGATTAGGAGTGCAGGGAAGTCCATTAATGGAAAGCCATTAACACACAGGAAGAAAACATTGTTAAACGACTTAAAAGGGCTGAGCTCGTGGGAGTAATTTAATTCAAAGGAAATCACGTTTGAAATGTTTAATGCATAACATTTATACAGTCACAGAAAAAAACGTGCATTTTCCTTGTAGTATAAAATCGTACATGTCAAAAAGCTACGGACATTTATTTTATAAAAATTTTAAGCATTATTATCAACTTCCAAATAACTTATAAAAATTTACATTTATTAAAGTCAGTGAAAAAATTTATTAAACTTTTTTCATTGATACCTTTTTGCAGCCTCTTTTTACAATGGGCAAGGATCAGGAATTCCTGGAGGCGGCTCGCAATGGCAACATCTCGCACATCGAGAAGGTCCTGAGCCAGAAGGCTAAAAGGGCAGGACCCCTTGCCAGTTTGCGAAGGGGAACAGGAGTTAATGTCCAGGACAGTGGAGGCTACTCCGCCTTGCATCATGCCTGTCTGAATGGTCACGAGGATATAGTGAGACTACTGCTGGCCCACGAGGCTTCACCAAATCTTCCGGATTCGCGAGGATCTTCACCTCTGCATTTGGCTGCCTGGGCAGGAGAAACGGAGATTGTGCGACTGCTGCTGACGCATCCTTATCGACCGGCCAGTGCCAATCTGCAGACAATCGAGCAGGAAACACCGCTGCATTGTGCCGCACAACATGGACACACGGGAGCCTTGGCTCTTCTGCTGAACCACGATGCGGATCCCAATATGCGAAATTCCCGGGGAGAAACCCCATTGGATTTGGCAGCACAATATGGTCGGTTGCAGGCGGTTCAAATGCTCATACGTGCGCATCCGGAATTGATAGCTCATCTGGGCACCGAGGCCTTGGAAAGTGGAACCCCCTCCCCATCCTCGCCGGCATCCCCGAGCAGAGCCATATTTCCCCACACCTGTCTGCATTTGGCCAGTCGAAATGGCCACAAAAGCGTGGTGGAAGTTCTTTTGTCCGCCGGAGTCAGTGTGAATTTGCTTACTCCTTCGGGAACTGCTCTCCACGAGGCAGCTCTATGCGGCAAGGAGAATGTGGTGCGAACTCTTCTGAAAGCTGGCATCAATTTGGGTGCCACCGACAACGAAGGACGCACCGCTCTGGATATTCTGCGCGAGTTTCCACCGCATGTCACCAAACACATTGTGGCTGTGATCAACAGTACGTATGCGTAATCTTTACGACCCATTGCTTTGATTGTTCAGATGATTTATTGCTTGTTATGTGAGTTTTATTTTACATCTGCTTTAATTAAATCACCCGCAATTGTGTGAAGTGCAGTAATACTGTATATCGAAGTAATATATAAGCAAATTTGACCCACTTTGGGTACGAATATATATAAAGTACGACGGAGATAACTGCAGGTCTTTACATGACTTTCAATGAGAATCTTACGTTTGATTAACTTTATATGAAATTGTGTGCGTAGCCCTGAAAATTGTTTTACAAAGTAAAAACAATAAAGGTTATGGAGGTTTAGTATCAGTTTTCCCCAAATCCAGTTTTTGCACATTTTGATGTGCCCTATTATCATAAAAAATGAAAAATCATCGAGCAAATAATCGAAAATAAACTAATGATGCAGCTTTATAGATATTTTAATAACAAATTCATAGAGGTATGCCACTTATCGGATAAAAATTGAATAAGTTGTGGGCTTGGATGTGCTGGGATCTCATCACTTTTCCGCAAATCCATTTCTTGCAAATCTTGAAAGGGGAACATCATAAAAATTGGCAAAAAATCGACAAAAAATCAAAGCCTTTCTGTTGCTGTTGTTTTGTTCATTTTAAATAACATTCTTCCTTTTTCGTTTAGACTTCCGTAACCAAATGGACACCGATGAAGGCGACGAGGTGATCTACAGGCAGCACTCGGGAGCTGCGAACTCAGGACGTGGCCAAAACAAGCACCACTCGCAACAGCAACAGCCACACAGCAACCACTACCATTTCAACTCCAACAATCACTTGCTGAACCACTCGCACTCCATGCAACAATCGGGATACAGTAAACAGCGTTTGAGTGCGGGAAATGGAGGTCCTTACAACGGAGGAAAGTCCTTGGATAGTGCTCTCCAGCCAGAGGATCGCTTCTACCAGGATCTCAACTCACACTCTCCACTTCATAGTCAAAAGTATGAAACATTTAGCTTAGATTTTTAGATTTTAATTTGATTGATTTTCCGTACTCCAACTTAGTGAAATGGGTGGGGGCTATAGTGTGAGTCCCTCCTCGTCGCTGAGCAGCTTTGAGCCGGCTTCGGTTTCGCCTCGATCTCGCTGCTCCACCGGCGGTCTTGGCCAGCCGATGCAGATGAGCACTTTTGCACCGGCGGGACCGCCCAAGAAACCGCCGAGACGCAACCTCTCCGTTTCGCCCACACACGCGGGACCTGGGCAGCAGTTTAGCTACAGCTCCCCATCCAGTCAAAGCCAAAGTCAGAGCCACGGTCATGGCCATGGCCAAAATCAGGTGCGCCGCCAGCCGCCCAGCGACAGTCCGTATTCGCATCAAAGTCATGGCAGTGTTGGCGGCATGAGTTTTGATGAGACCCAATTGAGGGAAAGGCAGCGGAACGATCGTCTTTATGCCAGTGCCAGGCAGAGCACACGATCGGCAATTGCCGGCGGAATGAGTCTCAGTTCCAGCAGTAAGTAATTTATATTAATCTAAATCTATTTAATCTAATAAATTTACCTTCAGATGATATGTTGGACCGACAGTGCAGCAGCTCGGAGCTGAACAGCGAGACGAGTGTGCCCAATTCCAGTGGGGATTCCCCGGCCACCAACTCCATGAAGCGACCAATTCCAGCTCCTCGAAGTGCAACCACCAAACTATCGAAGGAGCTCCTCAAGTCAGCAGAAAATGCCACCTTGAAGTCTTACAATCCCAATCGAAAACTAAAGCGCAATCGGAACAGTAGGTAAGCAAAGAAAATAATAAAATGTGAATTAAACTTAGTAAACAAGAGGCCTAGTTTGGTATAATTTATTTTAAGTACTTATGTTATCCGTCCCACACATGTTGTGTTACCTAACCCATCTGCAACTGCAGTAAAAGTGTTAATTGGGTTTCAGTGTAGCTTAAATTAGCTCCCACACGAACGTTAAATGTAACATTAATGCCGATAGTTGTTGTGAAGTCATTATACAATTTGTTGGGTGACCCAAATTATTTTATAACTTTAAAGAGCTTTGTTGCTTAACTAAAGTAAGTAGGTTTGGTAAAGTTTTACTGAATATGCTACCAACAAAAACTTGAACATAAATTTAGCCTTTGACTAAACATACCTAATTGGCAGGCAAAACAGTTTCTTAATTTATAGCATAAAGAAATACATAAATAGATACAAACTTTTACTTTAGGTAGATATTAAGAGGAATTTTTATTTTCAGTGGTGCAAATGCGGCGTCCAAATCAAATGCTGGCGACGAAAACTGCGAGGCCAAGCAGCAGATTCCCAGCAGTCCCACCCACTACAAACAGCCACCGACGCCGGACCATCCGCCTCCGAGTTCCAGCCAGGCGGAGCGGACCATCCACGAGCGGATTCGACCTCTGAGCCAGGAGTACAAGCGTCGGTCAGCTCTGCTCCAGCTGCAGGCTGCCCAGCAACTGATGATCGAGACTGGCTCCTCGCCATCGAAACTGCTGCCGACTCTGAGTACTCCGGGCTATGATTACGACGACACGGTGACGGTGGTGCCCCGTTGTCCGGCTCCTTCCTCTGGATCCCTCAGCTCCAGCATCTCTTGCTCGGATCACAGTTTATCCCATTCGACGGACTACGTGGAGGAGTTTGTTAGCGACGTTCCCTTCGCAGGTTTATTGAAAGGTGCTTCCCAGCAGCTAAAGGAGTCTTGCGAGGTGCAGTTGAAAATCCAGGAGGAGAACAAGCCACAGCAAACTCTACCCAGAGTTCGTCCCCCAATTCCCACCAAGCCGGCGGTTCCGGAAAGAAAATTCATCAAGCCGCCAACAACGCCAATCAATCAACCAGTCGAGGCCAATGGAAATTCACCCAGAGAATCGGCCATCATCAAACCTCCAAGATCACCCTCTAAATCACCAACCAAATCCTCTGGCAAATCGCCAGCTAAGTCACCTGCAAAATCTCCCGGAAGTGGTCACTCGGCAGCCCGAAACTCCATAAACCTTCTAAGTCCCTTTAATGCCGAAGAGGCTCGCAAGAAAATCTCCGAGATTATCGAGAACTTTGGCAGTGGAATTCTTAACACCAGCATTACGCCCACCCACGATATTGAACTGGACTTTGAGGATATGGAGGTGCCCAATGAAAGAAGGGAGCTTGCCAATAGATTGCGCACTGCAGGATTGCTTCATTTGGAGAGGATGCTGTTCGAAAACGGCTATGATAACTACAAGTTTGTGGTAAGATCTATGATCAGAATATAGCTGTTTCAGCTGGCTTGATATTATAACTTTCTTTCCCAGCATAATGTATTTGAGGAGCCGGATATCCCACTGCTTCACATTCCCGAGCGGGATGCTCCAAAACTGTTGCGTTTTGTGCAAAGTTTACCATCAGCGGAATTCCAATCGCAGGTGCCTCTGAAAACTCAACAAGAAAACAAGCAAATGGGAGTGGCCACTTTGCAACAGTGGCTCAACTCAATTGCTTTGCCGGAGTACCTGGAGTTCTTTAAGTAGGTTTCATTTATCCCTTCTAATTTTCAATAAAAATACTAAAGGGTACTATCTTTTCAGCAAGCATCTCTACAACACGATTGAAAGTGTTAGCGAAGTGTGGGATGTAGAGCTGCAAACGGTGCTGGAGATCAACAAACTTGGCCACCGGAGACGCATCCTGCAATCGCTGGCTTACATTCGCCAGATGAGGGACAGTGACTCCAAGTCCCAGAAGACGCCTCTAGGCGAGAACAACGAAACCAATCAGCTGACAACGAATGGAAATGGAACCACAAGGGAGGCACCACCAAGAATACCCGCCAATCCTGTGAATCACCGCAACTCCATTACGGGATATCGCAAGAGCCGGTAAATTATTACAAAAATAAAATATAACTACTTCTCTTAATAAAATATATTTCAAAATTTTGTAGCCCCGCACCACCACCACCGGCTCCACCAGCTAGAAAGACAGCCGCTCTACAAATAAGGGCTCCTTCGGAGCTTCTCTTGGGCCTTCCGTCCAATCTAAGGACCACCGAATGGCGCCACTCGGCCCAGACTTTGCTCAACGAGAGCATAAATTACGAGGTTCAAGTAAGTAAAAAATAAAAATCAAGTTTTTTAAAATGTTAATGTTTCTTAGATAACAGCCTTTTTGCATTCCCAACTTTTTAATAATTTTTAAACGATATCCAACATTCGCACTAACGATATTTATCTATTTACTTTCTTTTCCCACGACAGTATCTCGGCTCAACGGTTGTGAAAGAACTACGTGGCACAGAGTCCACCAAGAAGTCCATACAAAAGCTGAAAGGTGAAGGCAAATCGGGGTCACCACTCTCGTTGGCCATTTGCCATCGCGGAGTGGAGTTCATCGATGTGAGCAGCAAGGTGAGGGTTCAAAGATATGAGATCTTTATAAGCACATCATTAAAAAATGGTTGTTTGATTTGAAGCGTACGATTTGCGAACATGAGATTCAGAACATCAACTGTGCCTGCCAGGATTCGGAAGACCTTAGGCATTTTGCCTACATAACCAAGGAGCAGGACCTGCACTACTGCCATGTTTTCCTGGTCGAAAGCACAGTGAGTATTAAGAAGGAAAATCGTATTTACAGATTATAAAACTAGTATTTAATGCAGGATCTGGCCAGCGATATTATCCTGACTTTGGGCCAGGCCTTCGAGGTGGCCTATCAGCTGGCACTTAGAGATGGAATCTCCACCACGCCGTCACTGCTCCTGGACAACGGAATGCTGCAGGGCGAGTTTTGTGGCGGGAAATAGAGCCAGGACCTGGCCACAGGAAAGCAACCACCGCCGACACCACCGGCACCACTCAGGCCAGGTCACAGTTTCAGTCTCGGTCGCAGTCACAGTCGAAGTCGCAGCCTATGCGCCAAACTATTTTGCCTCACCAATTATGGGGCTCTGTTCAAGTTGTAGTTAGAGGGAATTTTTGTAAGGAAACTAGTAGTTTGTAGTCCTTGCGCATTTGTCTTTTATACGAGCGGGAAGTGGGCGGGTTTTTTTCTAATTATTTAACTATTCGAATGGCCAAAGAAAAAACTACAAACGAAACGAACAAAAAGACTCACAATCAACAAAAGGCACAATTTTTTCCAATTAAGAGAAATGCACCAAAACCAAATGAAGACTTTATTAGAGCTTCACAACTTCCAAATATAACAGAAAGCTTTCCTTTCCAATTGACTTAATTAATAGATCATTTTGCAAACAACAATTATAATTAGAACATTTTGCAGGGGTAACAATTGCATCCCGATTCCAAAAACATATTGAAGTATTGCATTTATGTGGTAACGAAAGCGTCAACATGACGATATAAAACAATAGTAAATGAAAATGTTTTAGCAAATTTTAAACAGATAAACAAAGAGTGGAAAATCATGTTTGGCATACGAGCAAAGAAATTAAATATATTGGCTTATTAAACAATTTTATTAATGTTAAATGCTAAAGGCAGAGAATTGAATTGAAAACAAGAAGAGCAATGCAAAATCATATCCCGCATTCATGAAGATCTATAACCTATTGGCTAATCACATTTACTATATATTATACATATATACATACGACTAACTCTAATATTGATATGTATGCGTGTTGTTATATAATTTTTAATTGAATATTTAAGCGAATCGAATCAAATCAAAGGACAGACAACGCATCAAGTTATAAGCAAGTGAATGCTTACAAAATCGTGAATATGAATTGACTGCATCGATGTGTCGAGTCATCTGCATTTTAAGTATGTTTTTGAGAATATTTTACGATACTTTTTAAATACTTTTAAAATACTTTTTAACTAGTCCCTTAGTTGTTACTAAAGCATTAATCAAATCATGTACGTATTTGCATTTATTCAATTGTATATTGTTTTTCGTTTGAGGCCAGGCCTTGTTGTTATTGGTATTATTTTGACTTGGTTTACCTAGAATATTTTTATTTGAACATTAGTGTTAAACGAGGCGTATTCTCGACCCTTCTATATCGATGTACGCAAACGCTTTAAATGTTAGCCTGCTTGTGGTACAAGAGATTCCATTAAGTACCTACCTACTCAATACAAAATCGAAGATAATTACAAATAAAACTCATCTTAATCCATTTTCTCTGGGCAGCAGTTTGTTATGCCATAGACACGCACACGGAAAATAAATCAATTTTATTAAAACTATATATACAAAGTCGTACTCAACCAGCCTAGCCCATAACTAAAGAAATTTAATAAAATCAATATATACGGCAGATTGAAAAAGTTGTGACAACACAAATTCAAAATTTTTAAGTGTTTATCCAAAGAAAAGAATGAGCGAAAAACTGAAATCGAAGGAAAATACTAAATAAATACATAATTAACTGAGGTCAAAAGTTGTTTAACTCTTTTTGAGGGGTCAGGCGGCCGTTTAAACGCCTCGTGATGTCAATTAAGGCCCCACTTTCCCACAGGCCGCGGGATCTTGGCCAGAAAGAAGACAAGGATTGGCCAAAGGGGAAAAGCTCGATCAGTTACACAAAGGCCAGCGCGTAAATGCGAATTTAATGTGAGCCGGTTTGCGGAGCGCAGCGACGTCTTGTTGGTTTTTTATACGGCTAAATGCGTTAACCATTTGATCATGCGAATATTAATTGGCACTGGCCGACACCGAAGCGCAGTTCGGGCTTAATGTTGTTGGCCACAATAAGTGCCTGCGTCAAACGGGGTTAGACATCCGATAGGCGAAGATTCAAGCCAGCCAGAATGACGACGTCTTCAGTAATCTTAAAAGATGCGCTGGTTATATAGAAAAAATATTTAAAAAATTTTTATGATGATCCTAAACATAAATTTTCAACGTATATTTGACAAATATTATGCTATCTTAGCATATATACAAAATTAAATATATTTTTATATTCTCAAATTTATCATATTTGTAAGCATTATCTTTCGATCTCGATTCGTGTCACGAATCCATCTCTTGGCGGCAACATTTGATGCCTCATCTTGCGCTTAACGGTTTAAATTGTTGTCTCTCCGTCTCACTCGCGTGCAATTTGTGGCGCGCAGCTTATCACAATTTCATTATTATTATTATTACTATGGCTATGGCTATTGCCATGGATATATGTGTAGCTGAGCATCAGGATACCCTCATTGGCCATTTCTCCGTCTGTGCGTTTATTTGTAATTGAAATTGCGTGACTTTATTCTTTGATTTCGCTATTGGCCATTGGCATTGCCATTGCGATTGCGATTGCCATTCTGGCAATGTGCTTTTTGCGTACGAGTCGCGGCGAGTCAACCTGTAAACTTGCACATTTTGCCCCCTCGTCGGTGATTTATGCCTCTAACGGCGCACAATAAAGCCCATGGAAAAAAAAACAAAATATATAATGGCTGGCAAACTTTTCAGGCGAGCTTTCATTTCGCCATTACTGCCGATGCTGTTGGCCTGGTTTAAATGCCAGCAAGCGACGAATATTTGCCCAGCCCTTGCAAATTTAAAGTTCCGCCAATGTGAAAGTGTGTGTTTTAAGCGGGTATACTATATGTAAAAGTGGAAGTCAGCCAAGCTTTCCACTGCTTGTTCCGCCTGGCTTTTATTCCTGAGCGCCGGCTACCAGTTGTACCAAAAAAACCGCCAGACGCCAACAAATTGTGGTCAAAACGAAAGCGTTTTTAGTGTGAACATTTGCCCTTAAATCTAGTCAAATGATGCTTTTATAATTCAAGTGTAAAAGCTTTGGTCAAGATTTGTTTATTTATTACAAAAGCAGCTTTAGTCAACATCGCTGACTAAGAAAAATAATTTAATTAAGTAAATTTAAAGGTGAAAAATTTCATAAATTGTCGCGCAAAAACGTTCACATTGAGCCTTGGTGGCGAATCTGTTTCTGTTGCCACCGCATCCTGAATAGGCCACACTTATGCACTCATCTTCATATTCTGAAAAGGCCCACACCATTCGCATCGAGCTACATCTTCCGGGATCAAAAATGATGTGACAAATGGCTGGGATGACATTTAAAATTTGAAAACCTAGATCTCAAAAATTATAAAAAAAAACTTACGGTTTCTATATTCTTTAGGATGAACAGAAGCCACAAGACTAGTAAAAAGAACCAGAAAGACGAAAAACATTTTCATTCTTAACCACTTGAACTCGGAATAGAAAGTAAGCTGGCTAAACAAAGCATTTGCTTAATATACTACTTTATACAAATTTTGTAACTAATGAAAATGTGTTTAGAACGTAAATTACAAAAGCCATACACTTACAGGAAACCTTTAAAAATAAAAATATAAAAAAACTTTAAAATGTGTTGTTCAAGTAACGTACATCTTTGCAGCTGTATTTATTAAAATATATTATAATACATCATTTATAAATTTTCTTCTAATTTTTAATTAAAAATAGAAAAACGTGGAGCACAAGCTTTCTCGCACATTTCTTTGGTAAAGAAGCGATTCTGATTGCCTCCACAATTTGAGAAAACGAAAGGGACACACATTTTTTGGTTAATCGAAAAGTACCACAGGACTCGGTGGCCGTTGCATTTGCCGTACTGGGAAGGAAAGTAACAAAATTCTCCAGAAAGCAATTACAGTTTTAATTATTCTTAATAAAATTAAAGCAGAAGCTCACCATTTCTATCTTTTTCTGCAGGCTGAACAGTTGCAACAAAAAACCCCAGGAAGCAAAGAAAAACTACAAGCGTTTTCATATTTTACTATTTCAACTCAAAAACTTCTCTAAGATAGAATGTGTAACTGTTGGGGTATTTAAACGTTTTTCGGCTAATTAAAATGTGTTCCGGTTTGTTTAGCTAATTTAGTTGGAATGTTGAAATACCATACCATACCGTATTTCTTATTGTATTAATAATAAAATTACTTTGAATTTGTGGAATTTGTGGAATTTTTACAATCTTAGACCATGTTCACTTATAGAAGAAACCACGAGTCGACCTCCAATCATCGCAGTCTTCTTCCAGTTGTATTGACCACAGAATTCCTGACAGCTTTCGCGGGTATAAAAAAGGTTTCCATTGCCACCACAATTGGAATAGATAAACGTTTGGCACTTGCCTTTGTTTAGATTGTAGTACCACAGGCGACGATGTCCTTTGCACTTGCCATATTCTGAATTCTGGACACAAATACCTATAGAGTAGTTTTGTTATTGTAAAATGTATATTTTTGTAAATGACACACTTTTTCGTATCCGGTACTGCTCCTTTTCATATTGATCCTGTAATGAATCCATATCCTCAGCTAGTACCAAAATTCCCAGACAAATGAAGACAGCTATGCGTAGGCACAACATCCTGCGGTATTGTTGAAACCAATTGAAAAACTGAACAAGAATATCGGAGTTTTTATAGTCCCATTCAAAGAAAGTGCACTCAAAAAAATCATCAATGAGATGATAATTTTATTTGTTTGGTTTTGTTTCTAGCCTTTCTCAAAAAGAAGCATATTTTTTAAATTAATATATTTATAATTATTAAACCTATAAATTTTCTCCAAGTGTATTACCATTAAAACACTTGACGTATTGTTTTCACAGAATGGTTTTTTCAGCAACTGTGTGCAAAAACTCTGATTCGAGTTGGGGGAAAAACGTATGTGATCGAGCAATTGCTCAATGTGTAATCGGGTGGACAAAAATTATGCGACCGGTTGGCGAGCATGCGAATTCAATTAAATTTCTCAATAAATTACAAGTGCACAAATCTATACAGAAATGCGTCGTGGAAAAATGAGTAAAATAGTCGCACGCGTTTCCACGGCGCTTCAGTTCAGATGCATAAAATATATAGAAACCAGCTAACTGGTCTGGGCCGGCATTTAAACCGGTACTTAGCACCCCGATATGTGATTACGCAAGTGGTCGGTGCAAGTGGCTAACATGAAAACATCACCTTAACTCACCTGAGATCTCCCGAGATCACACACATCACACATACGCCGCGTTGTGCGGCGCTGCAACAAAAATGAAAATGAAAATGAAAACGTCGGAAAAACGCTCGGCCGGCAAAACTGAAATTCTAGATCAAGGCCACGCCCGGCTAGGCCCATAAATATAAATCCACATCGCCTATCAATGCCTGCTTACACGCAAAATGCGTAAACTAGTTTTTTTCTCCAACTCCCGGAGATTCAGACAGCAGGAGGATTTTGGGAGGAGGGAGGAGGTGGGCCAGCCCAATCGCCAAGGAAGCAGTGCATTGGAGTTGGCAACACGATAAATTGTCAGGCGAATGCATTTTGTCACATTTGGCTATTTTGCATTTGTAAATTACAAGACAAAACACTTAGCAGTCACCCAGAAATTTGGGTTGCACTGGCACCCAATTACACATGAAAATGTAGTTGACTTTTTTGCTTGTAAGGCGACTACCAAATGTAGATCACTTTTGTTTATTTAATTTATTTATTAACAGCAACGTTCACAATAAGAGAATTATTTTCTTTAGAACAGTTTTCATTAACTTTAAGAATATAAGATATTGCTTGTGATTTTATTTTTCCTTTTTTTAATAGTTCACACTTGTAAGCAAACAAACAAATGATCTCATTCTAGGCCAGCCACTATTATTTTGTTCGAAACTGTGTACAAATGTATTAAAGTTAGTAGAGAAAAATCTATGTATTTCCGAAACGAATTATTGTTGAAAATGCCAAATAAATTACGAAAACATTTAATTATTTTCAATGCCAGCAAATGGTTTTTCCTTAGGGTTCTGATTTGAAAGCAAATCGACCATTAAGTTATGGCACAGCATTAGCTAAGTGAGCAGCATTGGCCTTCGCTGGAGTGTCGGCCTTCTATAAACAAATAATATAAATTATTAATAAATACAGTTAAGTTTGAAGTTCGGCTTGCGGCCATGACAATTTGCTCTAATGCTCTAAAAATCAGGCTAAGACTTTTAACCGAATTGATTACACATAATTCGAATTATTATTTAAATGTGGCATTTGACTTTTCTCGCTACTCTTCGCCAAAACTTGGCAATTATGGTCATTTGCGATTGACCCTTGGGGCTGCCAAGGCCAGGAAGTTTGCTTATCGCCACTCCATGATTGATGACAGTTGGTTTGCCCAGATGTTTTTTTTTTTTTGTTTTCCTTTTTTTCTCTTTTTGCTGCACACGCAAATGAACCACTTGGAAAATTGTGCAATTATTGCTAATAAAAATGTTTATGAACGATACCTGTTACCCGATGCCAGAGATGACTCCGCTCTACCGGCTGTTGATATGAATCACCATAAATCTAAGAGCGGTATAAATATTTATCGCAATTTTATAATCATCCCCGACCAGACCAGTCCGAAAAAAGCAGCCTGTTCGTGAACCGGCGAGTTGCCTCCGCGTGAGAATTGCACTCACATCGGAATAGTAAAGTAATTGAATCAAGAAGATAATTGACTCAAGAAATACCCTTTCATCTTATGTTCAAATATTCTTGAAAGCATTTTCCCAAACAAAATTCATAATGCAGTACACCATTTATTTTGAAAACAGTTTGAATTTTTTTATTGTTAAGAAAACAACATAACAGAAGATGTTCTTTCACTAAGAGTATTCGACACATTTGAGCTTTGGCCAGTTCCATAGGCATTTTATGACAGGCAAATTTTTACCGCAGCGATTCGAATGGCTGAGATAAAAGAGCCAGCAGTCTGGGAGAAGAGCAAAGAAAAAGTCGGACGGTTCAAGAATGTGGGTTAATTAGCAGGAAGCCCGAGGAGGAGCGACACCACTCGAGCACCCCACAAAAAGCCCGAATTGCTCCAATAAACCGGGCCCCAAAACACAACGCATCGGAATGTCCAAAAACTTGACCTGAAAAATGGAAGCGGCAGTGGAAGTCTGGCCAATGCATTGGCATTGCTACTGAAAACGCTGCGGACATGACCTGGACTCCCGGCTCTGGTCGACGTCATGGTTAATTGGGCATTCAAATGTCAAGTTCAATTTTGGGCCACATTAGCGTTACCTATAAAAGGGCCGTTCGCTCTGCGCTCTGCATAAAATGAGATTTATTGTTGCATTTTTCTGCTTCCATCTGCTGCTCCTCGGCTGCTTGGTGGCAATGGTCAAGTGATCTGGGCCTGGCCCAAAACAATTGGCGAGTCGTTGCCTTGCCAGTCGTTTGCCTTTTATCGTTTTGCCTTTGAATAATTTCAGTTCGGAAGGGGCCTTCGTATAAATTGGAATATGGTTAGAAAAATGCAAGTAAAATTTGCAAATTGCATTTACATTTGGTTTAGTTTATTTTTATACCCGTTACTCAATTTTTAGTAAAAAGGGTATACTGTATTTGTTAAAAAGTATGTAACAGGTTGACGGAAGCCCTTGCAACTTCATCAGAGGATTATCAGTCAATCTACTCTCTGCGCAAGATTGTTAAGCATTTGTGCCACGCTCACTATTACGCACACCACCCTATGGGGCGTATCATCTCCTATTGTTTAATTGAGGAATGGGTATCTGATAGTCGATGCACTAGACTATAGCGATCTCTCTTATTTGATTTTATTTCGGTTTTTGTAGCCTTTGGCTTAAATGTGACGTTGACGTGCCACTTCCGCTTGGACTAATCGGGCTCAAGTTGGACGGCTTTTTTATCAGCTCTCAAATGTTCAAAAAATAAAATATAAAACACTTGCAATTAATTTCAGTTAAATTGCTTGCCTCTTAACTATTCTAAGTGCAGGCAACTGGACCACAAAAAAAGGCTATAAAATCGAAAAACGAATCTGCGCAGTGTCCGACTGAGCTTTAAATCATAAAAAGTATTTCGGCGGCAATGGTTGGGCATAAATCAAAAGATAAGTAAATTAAAAGCCATAAATTTGCAATTAATTTTTAATTTGTGCAAATTGATAGCCATCAACGTGTTGAAACTGCCAATAAAAAAATTATGCCAAATAAATCAAATGACCAAACAAAAACTTTGATCCAGAATCTGACGTGGAAAACGCCTTTAAACTGCTGGATACAAATTATGGTGTGGCTGCAAAGATGTTAATGATAATGCAGGATAGGAATAAAGCACAATAAATATAGTAAAATATGAATATTAGTGTAAACTTAGTATTAATTTGAAATACAAAAGAATTTTTCAATTTATTAATTGATAGTTTGACATTTTTTAGAACCTTGTCAAAAATAATTAATAGGTGTGTTCCTAATTGGACGCAAAAGATTGTATGCTTCTTAAATTTAACTAATTGCTCAAGGCTTATATTTTTGCCTCAAAACAATAATAAGTTTGCTATATCGCTTCCCAGTATTACTTCTTTCCCTTCCATTGCAATTATGACCTGCCAGCGTTATCATCTGGATAAGAAATTCGTCTTGGTCAGGCGAAACACCGGGCCAACAATCAAATTGCATTAGCTTTGCTGCCTCCTGAGAGTCTCTCGCCGATCTGCCCGGACTCAAGCCATATAAAATGCCCCTGGCTACAACCTACGCATTGTGGCCAATAAACAAAAGTGTGAAGGTCTTGCGGGAATCGCTCGAAAGGTGCAACACGAACTGTTGACCCTGAGGCTGTTGCTGGTTTCCCTGTTGCTGCTGTTGTTGCTGTTGCTCGTTGCTGTTTGTTTGTTGTTTTTGCTGGTCACTGAACATTATTGGATGTGATTAATTATGCTGACATTAATTCGGCTAATAGAAATATATCTCGTTGCGTTGAAAATGATGTTGACGTGATTGTAATTGAAGTTGTTGCCCGTTGGTGTTGCTGTGTGTACTGCGATGTTGCTGCAATGCTTTGTGCCTGCTGAATGGCTGTTTGCCTTTAACCCGGCTGGAAAATTGCCTTCACCACTGCGTGCTGTGCAGTTTATTGCAAATTTGTTTGTATTTATGATAATTGATGGGAAGAAATGGTGAAAAGCGCTTATGAAAATCCATTTTGGCAGCGAGCATTAATCAAAACGATAATTGGCGACTGTTGTTCCGCCGTTGTTTGCTTTCACGCCAACCAGCCAAACAGCCAGCCAGCCAGCGAGATAATGATAAAGCCAATTGGATGGCATAGTCTTGGCATTGGCTTGGCATCAAGCGATCGCAATTTGGGAAAGTTCTGGGGTTGTGTGGCAACAATTAAGCAGCAATGTCCGGGCCATATAATCAACTCGACTCGAGCAGCGGGCCTGAGTTATTTGCCACGCAACGTCAACGTATTTAAATCAATTACAAACAGCAATTTGCCGGCAGCTTCTATGCCCCTTCCCCCACAATCAAGGCATGCGTTTGTATTACAGATGGGATGACAACCAGCAGCAGCAGCAACCTGAATGG